TTCCCACTCATTCTCCCTTTACCCTCCCTGTTTTGCCACTCACACCACTGGTCCTATAGGGCTCATCCGTCCTGGATTCCCTATATTTTCAGTTCCTATCTGTACCAGTGTACCTCCTCTGGTCTAGCCAGACTTGCAAGAGACTAACTTTTAAACAGTGTCGAAAGTAAAATTCTTTCTCGGAGCTGCTCGTGGGTTCAAACTGCTGACCATGTGGATCGAAACCCAATATGATAACCACTACACCACCAGGGGCCCTTGCAAGTCAGTATGTTTCCAGTAACTACCTGTTAGACAATTATTGCCACCAACTCCTAATGAAAAAAATAATAGGAAGGCAATAGTTTTCCTTTTAAAAATGAACAGTCCTTCAAATTTGGAAAATAATGAGCTATAAGTGGCTAAAATACCTTTTGAAGTATGTTATAATCATATTATACTGTTGAATAATTCCTGGAAATAAAATGCTATGGCTTCTACTCTTAAGAAATGGTACATTATATTTAATAAATATGGGTTCCTAAGGGAATTGGAGGTGAGAAAAAGGTAGAGAAGGTGATTAATGTGTGAAAAACAATTTAGGTAATTTCCTTTTTTATAACTTAATGAACATTTGTATTTTTGTGCTGTGCTTTCTATATTTTTTTCTTTCTATCAAAAACATTAGTGTTATGAAATAAGTGAACGAATGCCTGTTTCCATTTGCGAGGATTATTTTAGCCTTTTTTTTTTTTACTTCAAAGTGATTAGATGGAAGAACTACCAATCTGAGATGAGGCCTGTTCTCTGATTACTTTTTTGACAGTTGCAAGCAATGATTTACAGATGACATTAAATTCTTGGTCTGAGATGGTACAAAGACCACCTAAAAGAAACTAGATATTGTAAACACATTAAAATAGTGTAACATAGGTGTGTAGATAGTGGATCCTGGATGGAACTGGCTGGCTTCTTTTGTGAAGAGAATATAATTCTGCATGAGGATTTATGAATCCAAACCTGTGTCATGCCTGTGCGCATACCCAATTAAACACTGGGAATTAAAAAAAGAAATAGTGTAACCAAAAAAATTCATTCCTTTGTCGTATGTTTCAGGAATACAGCTGTGTAAGCATTTAACGAGACTGGTTAGAAACAGCTTTGTCTATTAGTAGGCACTGCTTACATTGTGTGAAGTAATCATCCTTTGCTTTTAGCCTAAGACTGACTGCAAGTCCTCTTCCTGCCTCTGGCACAATTGCTTCAACTTCTTTCCATACTAGGGGAACATAACAGATGGTTTGGCTCTTTTTCACTCTAGTATGACAAAAAAGCTTTTCAGAGACAATAAAAATTGATTTTCTTCTTAACCTTCTCTAGGTAGTAGGAAAGAAATATTTAATTACTGACTCAAAGGTACAAGGAAAAAATTAATTGGTATCAAGGTTTGATTGTCATTTTTTTTT